GTCAGTAGAGCAAAGTTTGACATTCTGCTGGAGTGGAGTATCGACAGTTGTATTATCAGTTAACTCAGCTTGATTTAGAATATCTGAGAGATACTTCTGTTGAGACAGTAATACACCCCGCGGGCCTTGAGAAATTTCTAGACCAAGGAAATACCGAAGAGATCCAAGATCCTTCATGTGGAACTGTTGTTGCAACTGAGATTTTGCGTATTGTATACCTATCATATCATCACCTGTAATGATCATATCATCTACATAGATGAGTAATAAAACTCTGCCGCGCGATGTAGTGCGAACAAACAGAGAAGCATCTTGATGACTTTCTATAAAGCCCGCTTTGAGCACGACATCGCGAAAACACTCAAACCAAGCGCGGGGTGCCTGCTTGAGACCATAAACAGCACTACGAAGGAGACATACATGTCCCAGAGGAATATTTGACCCTGGAGGTGGTTGCATATATACAGTCTCTCTGATAAAGAGCCATGAAAAAAAGTATTTTTAACATCCATCTGGTATAAGGGCCAACGATGAGCAGCAGCGACCGCAAGGAGAGTACGAACAGTGGGCATCTGAGCAACAGGAGCAAATGTCTCCTTATAATCAATAACTTGTTGCTGAGTAAAACCTCGAGCCACTAAACGAGCTTTTCGACGTTCAATGGTGCCATCAGGACGAAACTTGACCTTATAAACCCATGTACTGCCAACAAGAGAGATCTCAGGAGGACAGGGAACAACATCCCAGGTATGAGTTTGCTGAAAGGCTTGAAATTCCTCAGCCATAGTCTGTCGCCACTCTGGAATTTGAACTGCCTCTTGGAAGGACTTTGGCTCAACAATAGTATGAATGGCAGCAAGAAAGTTATGAAAGATAGGTGAATAAGAAGTAACAGAAGCATACCGGGCAGACATGACATGTGGGTGTTTGCCTCGACGAAGAGCAAGAGGAACCTCAGGCGGGGGAGATGCTGGCGCAGGTGCGTGGAGATCAACAGTATTTTTTGGAGTGAGAGTTGTGTCCACGGGATATGGATTAGATGGTGTAAGAGAAGACTCAGGTGAGGAAGAGTCAACAGAAGGAGAGGGAGAGATGTCAGGGAGATCTCGAAAGGAAAATTGAGGTGAAGAAGTGGGTGATGCAGTGGACGGGGAAGCATGATCGGTAGAGTGGAGGAAATTAAAGTCATCAGAAGTAGAATAATATGGAGAATCCTCTTCGAACTGAACATGACGAGATATATGAACTCGATGAGTTGCTGGATCATAACAACGATAACATCGATGTTCTGAACTAATTCCTAAATAAACACAAGAAACAGCTCTGAGAGATAATTTATCACGTTCGTGAGATGGCAGAAGAACAAAACATCGACAACCAAAAACGCGAACTAGATCATAACGAGGAGGGTGAGTATAAACACGACTATAAGGAGTAGCACCAGAAAGAGAGCTAGATGGAGTGATATTAATAGCATGAGTCGCGGTGAGAATAGCCTCAGCCCAAAAACGACGAGGAACAGAGTAAGAAATGAGCATTGATCGAGCAATATCGAGGATTTGACGATGTTTGCGTTCAGCAACACCATTTTGCTCATGAGTGTAGGGACATGACTGTTGAAAGATAGTCCCATGAGAGGACATGATAGAGCGCATGGCAGAGGATAGGTACTCTTTGGCACAATCAGAACGAAAAACTTTAATACGAGATTGCCATTGAGTGAAAATCATAGCAGTGAAGGCTTGATAAGCAGTAAGTACGTCAGAGCGATTCTTAAGTAGGTAAACCCATGTAAAACGAGAGAAATCGTCGATAAAGCTAACATAATATAAGTAGCCAGATGAAGAAGGCAAAGGAGCTGGCCCCCAAATATCAGAGTACTAAATCAAATAAGGAAGTGGATACAAATGTACTCATTTTAAATGGTAAAGCAGTGAATTTTGCCAATTTGCAACCAGTACATGACTCAATACTAGAAATGGTAAAGCAGTGAATTTTGCCAATTTGCAACCAGTACATGACTCAATACTAGAACTAGATGATACAGGACCAAGTATTCCAGACTGAATAAGACTCTCCAGCCTTAGAACTAGATGATACAGGACCAAGTATTCCAGACTGAATAAGACTCTCCAGCCTTTTATTAGACACATGACCAAATCGTCTATGCCATAAATTGGCAGGAAGCGAGGTAGAGGGTTTTGACGAACGAAGAGAAGCAACAAGAGAACGTGGACGTATAGACTCTGGAAGGTGAAGATATTCCAGAAAATATAGTTTGTGCCTCCTACGACCCGCCTCAACCGTCTTGCCCGTCTGTGGATCCTGCACAATACAAGTATCAGAAGAAAATGAGACAAACAAGCCCGCCATGCATAAAGAGCTAATAGAAATTAAATTCAAGCACAACTGAGGAGCCACATAGACAGGACCAAGTGTTAGACGACCAGATGGATTATTTTATGGGGTAATAGAGACATACTGAGTAATGGACAATGGTTTTCCAGCAGCTGTGTAGATAGGAGGAAGAGAGGATGAAGTAAAGACAGAGGATAAAAGTGAACCATTACAAGTCATATGAAAGGAACAACCAGAGTCAAAAATCCATAGATCATTCATACCAGAGACCGAAGGATTAGCTGAAGAACCAGCAAAATACATACAAGAGAGTTGTGCGGCGGATATAGAGGTGATATGTTGGAAAGCATCAAGTTGACGGCGAAGACTTTCAATAGCTTGAATAGTAGAGTCTGAAGTAGTAGAAGGTAAAGCATTGGCCAACAATCCTGGTGTACGAGAGGGTTGAGACTGAGGGGGTCCCCGACCACGACCAGTACCTGAGGAACGTAACTCAGGATGAAGCTTGAAGCATGTCTCAATACGGTGTTCTTCCTTCTTGCAATATTTGCAAGAGAGCTTAGATCGAGCCTGTGGAGAGGGAGCCTGTGGAGAAGCATGATTCATAACAGGAGCAGTGACAGGTAAAGACAAAACAGTCTCGAGTGAAGAGGTAGAAGTGTCTGTTGACAAATTGAGTCGTGCTGTCTGCTGCCGGGTCTCATAAGTAGTGAGAGCTCCCATAACTGAGGCCAAAGTCGAAAATTGAGGCTGATGAAGTAGTTGATCAGCCATAGTTGAATATTCAGGAAGGGACTGAAACAGTTGATGCATCTCATGCCGTTCGTACCAGGCTAGCCAGTCTTCATATGTGGAATTACGTCCAGGAAGTATGGAGCGTAACTCTGTCAATTGAGGCTGATGAAGTAGTTGATCAGCCATAGTTGAATATTCAGGAAGGGACCGAAACAGTTGATGCATCTCATGTCGTTCGTACCAGGCTAGCCAGTCTTCATATGTGGAATTACGTCCAGGAAGTATGGAGCGTAACTCTGTCCAAAAAGCTTGCATTTGTCCAAAATGAGACTGCAGAGATGAACTACCTTTGCATTGTAGAGCAATGCGTTGCAGAAGATATGCCTCCCGTGCACCCGAGCACTCAGTGAAACGCTCAGTGAGACGAGTCCATATGGCCCGAGCAGAGGGAAGCGAGCCAATCTCGACAGTAAGACCAGAGCCAACACAGCGAGTGAGATAATCCATAACACGAAATTCCTGCAATTGCCACTCTGAACTCTCCTTGACATAGAGAGCACGAGCAGTCTGAAGATCGACATCACCACTGCCAGAGGCAATAGTACTGGATGAAGCAACAGTGCTGATGGACGGTGGAACTGGTCCCGTACTGGTGAGATGATCAAGCAAACCAGCGCCACGCAAGGCATTGGTGACAATGGTGGACCACCCTGCCCAGTCACTTTGATCATTGAGGGGCAAAGGTGGTTTGGGAATCTTCTCTGAAGGAGCCATAACAGCAATCTTGAGACGTTAAGATGTCGAGATGGAAACGGCAATGCCGTTCGTTTGAGGCCGAGAGACGGCTTGAAACGACGATGTCGTTAATTTGAGACCGAGAGACGGTCTTGAAACGGTAATGCCGTTAAAATAGAACCCGAAGGTTAGAATAAAAACCCGAAGGTTTAAACGAGAACGCGAAACGCGTTAAGAGGCCGCAAAGCGACAAGGCCAAAATATCTGGTAGAAAAAAAAAACATTAAACGGCTGCAAAGCAATAAGGCCAAGATTTGGCAAAAGAACGCAGAAGCGTTAAAAAAATTTATTGGAAGGGAAATAGCCCTAGCTCTGATACCATGTTAAAGTAAGAGAGAGAATCTTGGGTAAATTTCCCTTGAATTGAATATTGAGTATGCACATATATTTATACAAGTAGAGGAGTGTGAGGTTTGTTCTCCCAAGCAATGTGGGACTAAAACCCACTACAATACACTATTATCAACACTAATATTTCCAAACTTATTTTGGGAGTTTACTGTGGGTTTAAACTTTTTAGGGGCTTTTACATAACATCAAAACTTACGGGGTCTAGCGTAATTTGTCCAACATAACTATATTCTGACAAGGTTTTTGTGCATAGTTTTCTATTCGTCTTAATAAAATAAAAAATATTGAAATGATCACATGAAACATAAACTACAACAATAAATGCTATAGAGGAGGAAACACAAAAGCAAAACTTCCATTAGGTCCCTTATCAGGTGGCCGACTCCAAAATTTTTGAGTAGATAAGGTTCTAACACGACCAAAATAACGTTTTAGAGCTGATAAACCACAACTCTTTTCAAATTACCAAAATAACGTTTTTGAGTAGATAAGGTTTTTGTGCCAAGTTTTACTAAAAATTAAAATTACTGATAAACCACAACTCTTTTCAAATTTATAATAATGCAGACTCCGAATTGAAGTGGGAAACTACTGCAAATATTACTAAATATATCAGTAGTTTAGATAAACTAAAATTAGTTCAAATATCCTCATAGTTTCAAAGAGATACAAACTTTAAATTGAGATAAACCCGAACTCCTCTCGAATTAATTCGTCCAACATCAAACCCTGCATTATTTAAGTCCTCCTGTTCAAGAAGAGTTGCGGATCGAAGACAGAATTCTCGACCCTTTGAAGGACCCGAGAACAATTTTCCTTCAGCCAGCATCATGGCCAATCAAGAAGACAGATTTTTATCACCTCTTGCAATTAGCTTCGACGGGGAAGAAGAGAGAGAGCCGGAAAGATTGCCGGTTGGTTTCAAGTTTCGTCCTACCGACGAAGAGCTCATACAAGATTATCTCAGGCCTAAGGTTCTCGGCGGTGAACTCCCCTGCGAAGGCATCATCGTCGATACCAACATATACCATCATGATCCAACGCAGCTTGCAGGTATATCTTGATCGAACTTTTTAACGTGAAGCTCTTTCATCTATTAGTTTCTGGCTACGTTACAGGAAACTTGCATGCATGCATCAAGAATCGCGTGCATGCATATATAATTTTAGGCCATAGGATTACTCTGCTCATCATGTTTGCTTTCTGTAGTTTACATATTCATAGCAAATTTATAGAGTTCTTGAAGAGTTTTTCTCTGGAAAAACAATGTCTTTGATACTGATACAGAGATTTTCGTGTTGGTGTTGTCTTGCAGAAACGTATGCTGATCATGAGAAAAGTTGGTATTTCTTTACCCCGAGGAATAGGAAGTATGAGAAAGGGAGTAGGCCAGACCGAGCAGCGTCTGGAGGATTTTGGAAGGCCACTGCAGCAGATATAGCGATCGAGAAAAAGGAAGGGGATCGAAAGATAAAACTCGGGGATAAGACAGCATTGGGGTTCTGGGAGACTAAGAAAAGTAGAGTCAGGAGTATCGATCGAGGGACGAAGACGGAGTGGTTGATGTACGAGTATAAGATCGAGGAGTCGAAGCAGCCTATCAAGAACGGCCACATGCTGGTAAGATTCTGAGTCTTTATTTAGGATTTTGATTTTCTTACATTGTTTTTTATCCTTAAATTATATCCTAAATTGGCACAAAAAAAATCATCGATATTTTAACCTGTGCACATGCTTATTGCAGTTGGATGACTATGTCCTGAGCAAAATATACCGCAGCTGCCGTAAAGGCTGGAAGAAAGCTGCACCTGTCGCAGTTAATCCGGATAACCTGCAGGAACAAATCCAGCAACCAAACAAAAGAGCTCGCCATCAACCTGAACCTGAACGTAAACCTGAACCCAATTTCGACCCGACCCAAATCCAGCCTGTACCAGACAACCTCTTTCTTCCGAACCCCGAAACAGTACAGGACGAGAATGCCTACATGTTTCAAAACCAATCGTTGCAAACTGCATTGTGGAACCCGAACCAACCACCAGATCCGCTCGATCACAATTTTGCTTCTAGTAGTGACGACAATTTCTTTCCGGACCTCCCAGATTTTGATTTTCCCTTAGATTTTGATCAACATGAACCCGCCAATTATCAATCAAACTCTCCTTTACCTCAAGGCTACAACGGAGAAAGCTCAATTCAGCCTGGCATGGCTAACTTCAACGTGGGCGTTCACGGTCAGGACTTTCAGCAGCTGCAGATCAATAACTACGGCGTCGCCAACTTCAATATCGGCGTTCACGGTCAGAACTCCCAGCAGCTGCAGTATAACTATGGCGACATTCATTCGCCCGCCCAATTTCTCGCCAGTACGAATCCCCAGCCTGCAGGATGTTGAAAAAGGTGTAGATCAAACTCACCTCCGGCGACGAAGAGCTCCGGCGAGCTCATGGATGTTGCAGGCGTGCGTGGGCGACGAACTTCAGGCGAAGTCGACGGAGAAACCCCAGGCGAACGCTGACCTGATCTTGGCGTTTTGGCGGCTCGAGCTCTGCGTTCGCCTCCCCCTTTCGACCTCTGCGTTCGTGCGAAGCTGGCGTCGAGCGACCTCTGCGTTCGTGCGAAGTTGGCGTCGAAGCGACCTCTGCGTTCGTGCGAAGCTGGCGTCGAAGCAATTGTGCGTTCGGCTCGAAGTTGGCGCTGGCGACAGGCTGTCGCCAGCCCTCTCCTCATCCGCCTATAAAAGAAAACCCCAGCCTAGGGTTTTTTTTTTGTCTCCGATTTTTCTTCCAGGCGGCGGCGGAAAAACCCCCAAATCGCAGCTGCGATTTTGTGTTTAAATCCCAACACTCAACAGTGGTTGAGGGGATTAAAGAAGAGAGAGAAATAGAGAATTAAAAGAGGGGTTTTAATTGTGGGGTATTTATTCTCAAGTGAGAATTGAAAGGGTTCATACCCTTTGATTATTAACACTGTAGCTACAGTGTTTATCAGAGAAATCTCAGTTTTGAGATACGCTCCTAAATTGTAATTTCTTGTTTAATTAATAAGAAATTATCTGTGTGGCTCCCGAGGACGTAGGCAGTTGCCGAACCTCGTAAATCTTGGTGTACTTTTTCTATACTGCGTTTCTGTTGCATTAGGGGTTTAGGCGTTAAATTCCCAACAAAAATTACCCCCATACTTTCGAAGGGGAGAGAGAGTGTGTGTATATTTTTATTTTAAAGAAAATTCCCTTTTTTCCGCTCGATGACCAAACCAAGCTCCTCCTCGTCGTCATCCTGCTACCTAATATTCTCCCAGAATCTCACTAGGTGTCCAATTTGGTTACCATATCACGAAATTTCAAATTTTGGGAATAATGTGGCTCCCAATGCGCAATCATGTCTAGTTTTAGCCCTGTTTTGCCTTTTGATGGAGTATTTCTCATCAATGTTCTTAATCTTAGGCAGTATCTACTGGGTTTGATTCATAGCATTAATTGTGTACTAAAATGACATCAATCGTTGGATTTATGCATGAATCCGAAAGTTTAACGATCAAATGGCTGACATCTCTCAAGTGCACATTTAATGTCGTATGTTTAATATGAGAAGTGAGTGAAAACACCGTATTTAACACAATGCTTGTTCTTTTAAAGTTTTAATAAACTTTCCTTCTTTGTGTGCACTGCTTTATACTTTGTTTTTCTTTTAATGAACGGGACAAGGTGTTTAGAAAATTTATTGACTAGTATTGCTTTTCAAGGTGTCACGCCCCGAGCCCACAGGCCCGTTGCAACGGTGTAAGCTGTGGGAACTACTAAGTGTTGTGTGTTGTTTAGCTAAAACCACTTCTAAAATTGACTAGCCGATGCTACATTTGAACCCCATGCTTTCACTATATACACCACTCAAGTTTTCATTTCCCTTGTTAATGTGGGACTAAACTTTTTGGGTGTCGCGTGATAATCGACATATCCCAATGTCACTGACAGACAATGTAGATTTAGAGGTGGCTCCTATGAGCTCTAGAGGTGGCTCTCATCGCGCTCACATGATGTAGCACTTAACCTCGCATTGCCCTTAGCTCCACACTTCTGGCTGGCAAAATGCTCTGATACCAATTTTCTCACCCTAGGCCCACAGGCTCGTTAGAGCTATGTAAGTCATGAGACTCATTGAGTACATCATGCTGTTTGGCTAAAACTAGTGCCAAAATCGACTAGCCGATGCTACACTTGAAATCCCATACTTTCACTATATAAACCACTCAAGTTTTTATTCCCTCGCTGATGTGGGACTAAACTTTTGGGGTGTCACACAAGGTATCCCACTGCTTCGAGCCAGTTGTCTATTTCAGTGTAAAGTGGTTTTTTCATCCCGAAAAGAACATGATTATACAATTAGATGACAAAGAGCATCCGCATCTTTGATGTTTTCCCCCAAACACTCCCGTTCTGCTCATTCCAATTGAAGAAAACCCGTTTGATTAAGGGCTTCTTATAGTTTTTTATTTCATGATTTGTCGCATTTTATGCCCACTTGAAACATGCCCATTTCTGAACTTCCTAGGTGAGAAGTGATAGGATATTATGCGTCTACCTTCATCATAATCAGGAACATTATGAATTTGAGCAAATGGTGTCCTATAACCTACTGTGATCAGACAACATGGCTCTTCTGGGTATTGGATGGGCAAATGTTTTCTATTTTCTGAGATTTTGTTGAAGTTCAAGGACATAGAACCTTTTGACAACAAAAATATTTTTTTTTCTCTCCTTATTTGATCACCTTGTAAGGTTAATATAACCTTGATTTCTCCCTTCATATGTTTAAGCGTCTCTAGTGATATATTACCTTCAAATGTACTATTGGATTTACGTGGTTAAATTATGAGAAGTGCAAGTCTATACTAATTTTTACTGACCACTGTCTTTTACGAAAATCTTGAAAATACATGTTCGCAGCAAAAAAAATTTATGTTTTTATTTTTTGCATCAGAAACGTTCTGCCTTGAAGCAAAATATCATTATGATGCTTTTCTTCTCTTAAGGGAATTCTTTTCTTTTTAAAACAAATACAAAAACGAAAAGAAATTGTAATGGCTCCTCAATTCTGAAAGATTTTCTCTCGTAATTTATGTTTTACCTGTAGATATAAAGTACTTACAGAACACTAATCTCATAAAGGAAGGTTGAAATGTTCAAGCAAATAGCTAGCTTCTGTGACGTCTCTAACAGCAATTTTAAGCTAATTTCTTTTACGCAACTTCTATGCAGAATGTTTAACTATTATCTATAATATTATATGTCAACAAATATTTCAGCTTTTGTTACACATTCAGATAGGTTTATCGGCATTGTTAAAACAAAATTTTCATTATAAGACTCACTCGCTATTCGAACTTTTCTTGTGCAATGCCTCAGAGCTATCTGGATGGCTTCACACAACTTTAGTATTACATTAGTACAGTTTGGAGCACATCATCTCCTAATAATTTTCTAATAAGTTACTTATGCCAGAAGTCTATCTACATCTTATAATTCAAAAATAGTAAGCAGGCGTGAAACTTAAGCTTTAATCATGTTTCCGAAACTATCTGCATCATGACGTAAATTGTTTTTTCTTTTTTCCTTTCATAGAATATATATCTTCTTGGAGACTATACTTTTTAAATATTTATTGATGATTTGGACATAAATAATGTTGTCAAAATCCTGAATGATAATGAATTAAACATTTTGCTTCTGGTACAAGAGATTGTTGTATTCCTATACACTGATTGATTAATTTCTGTTGTAGCTCTGTGTCTTAACATCTGAAAACTTTCTTTTATTAACACAGGATGATGTTTTCTATTTTATTTTTTGTACTGCCCTTCACTTCTTTTACTAACACAAAATCGATCATGCTTACTTCCAAACTTCCCAGAGAACAAAAACTATCCTAGCTCTTAGTTTTGTACATCAACAATATTGATCTAGACTTGTGCATATCGGTTTCTTTTACATATTTATTGATGCCTGAATGATGTAAAGAGATTTTTTTTTATTGGTTTCTAGTACGTATTTAAGCTTTACTTAGCAGACTCATTTATTAGGTAATGGTGATTGTGCATCAGGGATGAGAACTTATTGTTGGATAACTTCAGTCGATGAAAGCTAAACCATGATTGTGATTTTCATTTCTGTAGCACCAAAGAATTACTACAATCTGATTACATTAGTTGCAACTCTTTGGAAGTTAAACTTGAGGGAGCTATAGAATTGGAGCTGTGGATGGAATTTTACTTGCGCACTGTGAGGTAAGAAAACTTACTTTCAAGACTTCGCTAATATGACTAAATTTGATGTTATTGTGTATTAAAATCTTTCTCGTCTAGTTTAGACACTTAAAAGACACTCCAACATGCAAATTTCCAAAATATTAGTTGCTTGATTAAGTTAAAAAGGACTCCAATATTCAAACAAAGCATACTTCCTAGTTGGAAGTCTACAAAGCCTCATATCAGTAACTACAACAACGCAACGAAGAACCATCCATTTAAATTAGGAGCTCCTCTCGAATTCACGCAGCCAATGCACAGTCGTAATCTCCATCGTCATCATCATCGCCATCTCCCCTCGCAGCCTCTTTTCTCCTTCCATAGTCGCAGACTGCATCGATGACTTCATGGCTTTCTATTACCATCTTCGGCAGCGCCCCCCCGAGCTCTGCGTTCGAGCTCGAGCCCCACGTGCGAGCGCCTCCACCCAACTCTGCGTTCGAACGCAACCCTGCGTTTGGCGATGGCGTCCTTTGCGTTCGAGCGCTCCCACCTCTGCGTTCGTGGGCCGCTGGCGACAGGCTGTCGCCAGCCCATCGATCTCCCCTATAAAAACCCCATCAGCTAGGGTTTTGTGACACTGCTGAAGCCTTCCCCCTCTCCGATTTTTCTTCCCAGGCGGCGGCGGAAAACCCCCAAATCGCAGCTGCGATTTTGTGTTTAAATCCCAACACTCAACAGTGGTTGAGGGGATTAAAGAAGAGAGAGAAATAGAGAATTAAAAGAGGGGTTTTAATTGTGGGGTATTTATTCTCAAGTGAGAATTGAAAGGGTTCATACCCTTTGATTATTAACACTGTAGCTACAGTGTTTATCAGAGAAATCTCAGTTTTGAGATACGCTCCTAAATTGTAATTTCTTGTTTAATTAATAAGAAATTATCTGTGTGGCTCCCGAGGACGTAGGCAGTTGCCGAACCTCGTTAAATCTTGGTGTACTTTTCTATACTGCGTTTCCGTTGCAATTAGGGGTTTAGGCGTTAAATTCCTAACACAGGATTATCGGGGTATAATAATTTTGATGCAGGATACAATGGTATGGAACAGCGCTTTAACAGGCCGCTGCTTGAGCCTGGATCCTCTTCGCAGAACAACATATCAACGGGAAGCTCTCGGTTCGACCCTGGCTTTCTCCTGGCATGCTTGGACCAGAAAAGAATTTAGAGGCCTCTGCTTTGAAGGAGATGGATAGGCGCCGATTCATTAATTTGTCTTTTAGATTATGTACCTAGTGAAGTATGTCTATTGGGTATAAATTGTCAGGAGGAACCATCTTGAATTAAACTCGATAGATTTTTTTTTTTTTTTAAATCTAAGTTTAAATTAGGTTTTATTTGTCTCTTTCATCTTTGTTGAGTGCTTTTGAGGTTCTAATTAATTTGCTTATATTGGATGACTTATTTTATGTGTCCATGTTTTGAGGAGATTATTAATGGTTGATTGCTGTCTTTGGTCATAAATGATATGTAATTTTGTGGTGGTGCATAGGATTGAAAACGAGGTTGCTCATATTTTGATTCGGTTTGGATTGAAAGACTGCTCCTCCAATTATTCAGAGGCAGTTACAAGATGATAGGGCTCAAGTTTGGTTCGGTGTTCTTTTTAGAACTATGATGTACGGTTCGGGCATTATATTTGCCTATCTACAATAAAAAAAAATATAAAAAATAAATAAATCACTTAAACTCCTACTTAGCGATGAACTCTGAGGAATTAAGTTGGTGATAAGATTAAAAGGATCAATTAATTAAATAAGAAATGATAAGGCAAGAAATATATATACACGTACATCCGCATGAATACGTTATGACAATATATATACTTCAGGACAGAAGTAATTTGCATTGCAATAGATTTGAATTGTAGAATAAATTTAATTACTTTACCATAATTTGTATGATGGGAAGTTTACGCAGTTGTGAATAATTTGCAGGACGCCCATATCTCATATTATTGCTAATTTTTTTATTAATTTATTTGTAAAATATTTATTCAGCACAAAATTCAGAAGCCATTGAAAATGGGCCACAGAAGTTCACGGGTCCAATCCGCTTGAATCTGCAAAAAGTTGCTGAGGCAGCGCTAAACAACAACAAGACACGTACAGTAGTGTACTGACCTGCAAAAGCAAGAGTAATGCCATTTATTTCAAAGATATGATGATGAATGCAATCTCAACAACTATATATGTATGGGTTAAGTTTCTCTCCCATCTCCCCTCTATATATAGCTTCTTGAAGATGGCAGCTTAGCTTTCATGGATTCAATCTCTAGCTTACAGATTTTGGAAATGAGAGGCTTCGGGAAAATAATGTTTTTTAAACAAGAATTTATGTGCGTGATACAAAGAGGTTAGAAAGATACTTTCTTTTTCCTTCCTTTACAGCTAAATAATTTGCTAATTAATTTGTGCTAAAATGTAAGACAATGCTTCATATCCTTGTTGCTATTATATTTGAGTTATAGCCGATGCTTTGTAAATTAATTGTCTATTTACAAGGCTGACGTACGCAAGACCTAGACCATCCGCATTACCGTATAATGGATTATATAAATGATTATAGCATTCATTGTTGGATAGCGGATTCCTAATCTATTTTGGTAACATGAGGTTATTAGGATTCCTAATTTGATTTGGCTTTTTGGTTTAGAATTCCTAGTATGTTTATGATTTTAGGATTTCTATATATATGGAACAATTGGAAGAGAGAATTTGGGGAGAAGAAAATTGGGGATATTTGGAGCACAGAAAAAAGAGGTGTTTTCTGAGCTATTTGATCGAGGAACCATCTTGAAACTTAATAGATTTTTTTTTATTTTAAGTTTAAATTAGGTTTTATTTGTCTCTTTCATCTTTGTTGAATGCTTTTGAGGTTCTAATTTTGGTCTTATTAGTTTAAATTAGGTTTTATTTGTCCACATCTTATTCTATGTGTCCACGCTTTGAGGAGATTATTAACGGTTGATTGCTATCTTTGGTCTTATCATTTGATTGCCAGTTTCAGTTTTTGGAATCAATAAGCTTGATAATTTGTCATTCATTCATGAAGCTTTGCGGTTGAGATGCTGACACGGATTGATGGACTGATACACATGTGATATTTGATTGTTGGACTTTTCTCTAAAATTTACATGTAATAAAGAAGGACAAAGGGGTCTGTCAGAAAATATGGGAACCTGCAACAACACCATGATGGGAATTATAACTGAAAATTAACGACGGAAAGAATGCAGTTGAAAAACTCGACAAATTGAAGTTATTCGAATTTCTTTTCCACAAAATTTTAGGGAAGGCCCTAATTTTGAAAACTTGACTGCCAAGTTGTATCCTTAAAAACCCCCAAAATTGTGCATATGAAGTTCTAATCCCAACGAGTGATAAGGTTTCTGATTTTTAAAACTTGGCTGCCAAGTTTTACCCTCAATTAAGTACTATAGCTCAGTTTGATTAGGAATAAATCCATATGGGTTAAAAGTACCGCAAATATATATATCAGTAGTTCAGATAACCTCATAATTTTCAAGTAACTATAAATTAAAAAATTGAGATAAAGCCCAACTCTTTCTCTAACTCTTCGACGTACATCAAACCCCCCGCAGTATTCTCGACCCTTTCGAGGACCGGAGGACAAATTTCCTCGGCCAGCATCATGGCGAATCGAGGAGACGAATTTTTATCACCTCTTGCGATTAGCTTCGACGGCGAAGAAGAGAGAGAGCCGGAGAGGTTGCCCGTTGGTTTCAAGTTTCGCCCTACCGACGAAGAGCTCATACAGCATTATCTCAGGCCTAAGGTTCTCAGCGGTGAACTCCCCTGCGAAGGCGTCATCGTGGATGTCAACGTGTATAATTATAACCCAACACGGCTTACAGGTACCTCTATCTGTTGAGCCTTTATTTTTTGACTTATTTTAGTATTTTTGGAGCACAATATGTCGTATCGTTTAGGCTTGTTATGTTTGTTGTCATGCATGTCTTCAAACGCGAAGGACTTTCTCTCTTTGATATCCCTTAGGTCCTTCACACATCCGTAAATAGAATTTCAAATAATAACCCTCAATGTTCACCATAACTTCGGAGTCCTGGTCGCACATACTATAAGATGATATCAGAGCAACGTCTAGATATGTTGGTTATGGGCCCACAATGCTTGCGTTGCCAAATCTTCTTTTCCACCCTTTTTTTTCCTGGATGTTCTCCTTTGCCAGGGGTTATGACTACTCCTGCCAAACTATGCAAATTGTGCAGACTGTGCAGATGCCTATGAAGCAAAAATCCGGTTATAGATTTCTTTAAGAGTTCTTTTTTTTGTTGAGAAACAATGTTTTTTAATACCGATCAAATTTTCGTGTCGGTATTGTTTTACAGAGATATATGCAGATAAAGAGCAGGAGAAGAGTTGGTATTTTTTTACGTCGAGGAATAGGAAGTATGAGAAAGGGAGTAGGCCAGACCGAGCAGCGTCTGGGGGATTTTGGAAGGCCACTGCAGCAGATATAGCGATCGAGAAAAAGGAAGGGGATCGAAAGATAAAAATGGGGGATAAGACAGCTTTGGGGTTTTGGGAGACTAAGAAAAGTAGAGTCAGGAGTATTGATCGAGGGGCGAAGACGGAGTGGTTGATGTACGAGTATAAGATCGAGGAGTCGAAGCAGCCTATCAAGAACGGCCACATGCTGGTAAGTTTCTGAGTCTTTATTTAGGATTTTGATTTTCTTACATTGTTTTTTATCCTTAAATTATATCCTAAATTGGCACAAAAAAAATCATCGATATTTTAACCTGTGCACATGCTTATTGCAGTTGGATGACTATGTCCTGAGCAAAATATACCGCAGCTGCCGTAAAGGCTGGAAGAAAGCTGCACCTGTCGCAGTTAATCCGGATAACCTGCAGGAACAAATCCAACAGCCAAACAAAAGAGCTCGTCATCAACCTGAACCTGAAAGTAAACCTGAACCCAATTTCGACCCGACCCAAATCCAGCCTGAACCAGACGACCCCTTTCTTCGGAACGCCGAAACAGTACAGGACGAGAATGCCTACATGTTTCAAAACCAATCGTTGCAAACTGCATTGTGGAACCCGAACCAACCACCTGATCCGCTCGATCACAATTTTGCTTCTATTAGTGACGACAATTTCTTTCTGGACCTCCCAGATTTTGATTTTCCCTTAGATTTTGATCAACATGAACCCGCCAATTATCAACCAAACTCTCCTTCACCCCAAGGCCGCAACGGAGGAAGCACAATTCAGCCTGGCATGGCTAACTTCAACGTGGGCGTTCACGGTCAGGACTATCAGCAGCTGCAGATCAATAACTACGGCGTTGCCAACTTCAATATCGGCGTTCACGGTCAGAACTCCCAGCAGCTGCAGTATAACTACGGCGACATTCATTCGCCTGCCCAATTTCTCGCCAGTACAAATTCCCAGCCTGCAGGATTATTGGGGTATAATAATTTTGATGCAGGATACAATGGTATGGAACAGCGCTTTAACAGGCCGCTGCTTGAGCCTGGATCCTCTTCGCAGAACAACATATCAACGGGAAGCTCTCGGTTCGACCCTGGCTTTCTCGTGGCATGCTTGGACCAGAAAAGATTTTAGAGGCCTCTGCTTTGAAGGAGATGGATAGGCGCCGATTCATTAATTGGTCTTTTAGATTATGTACCTAGTGAAGTATATCTATTAGGTATAAATTGTCAGGAGGAACCATCTTGAAACTTGATAGATTTTTTTTTTTTTTTAATTTATTTGAGGTTCTAATTCGCTTATATTGGATGATCCTTAATGTTTGAGGTTCTTATTCTGTGTGTCCATGCTTTGAGGAGATTATTAACGGTTGATTGCAATCTTTGGTCTTATCATTTGATTGCCAGTTTCAGTTTTTGGAATCAATAAGCTTGATAATTTGTCATTCATTCATGAAGCTTAATCTTCCACCGTTTCTCGTGTGCTTGCGGTTGAGATGCTGACACTGATTCATGGACTGATACACGTGTGACATTTGATTGTTGGACTTTTCTGCAAAATTTACATGTAACACAGAAGGACAAAAGGGTCTGTCAGGAAATATGGGAACCCGCAACACTTAAAATTTTTGGTTGTTACGGAAAACCACCCAAACATTTTCAAGTTTCCAACTAACCCTCAAGCAATGTTGGATGAGCTGGTAAAAAGACTATAGTACCCTTTTCAAATTAGCAATCTAGTTATTAAGCCCCCTTCTTTCGAAATTGGATCCCTACCGAAAAAAAAAAAAAAAAAATTCTGTCCAATTGCAGAAACCAAACGATGGAAAGAATGCAGTTGGAAAACTCAACAGATTGAAGTTATTCGAATTTCTTTTCCTACCACTATAGTCCACAACATTTTAGGGAAGGCCCAAATTTTGAAAACTTGAAGTTCTAATCCCAACGTGATAAGGTTTCAGATTTTTAAAACTTGGCTGCCCAGTTTCACCCTCAATTAAGTACTATAGCTCAGTTGGATTAGGAATAAATTCGTACGGGTTAAAAGTTCAGATAAACCACGATTCTTTTCAAATTTGTTAGTTTTCTCCCTGTCTGAATTGGAGGGGTAAAGTACAGCAAATATTACTACTATAAAAATTGAGATAAAGCCCAACTCTTCTCTAACTCTTCGACGTCAACCCACAGTATTTAAGTCCGAGAACAATTTTTCCTTCGGCCGGCACCATGGCGAGTCGAGGAGGCGAATTTTTATCCCCTCTTGCGATTAGCTTCGACGGCGAAGAAGAGAGAGAGCCGGAGAGGCTGCCCGTTGGCTTCAAGTTTCGCCCTACCGACGAAGAGCTCATACTGCGTTATCTCAGGCCTAAGGTTCTCGGCGGTGAACTCCCCTGCGAAGCCGTCATCGTGGATGTCAACGTGTATAATTATAACCCAACACGGCTTACAGGTATCTCTGTCCGTCGAGCCTTTTTTTTTTTGACTTATTTTAGTATTTTTGGAGCACAATATGCGTATCGTTTAGGCTTGTTATGTTTGTTGTCATGCGTGTCTTCAAACGTGAAGGACTTTCTTTCTTTGGTATCCCTTAGGTCCTTCACATATCCATAAATAGAATTTCAAATAATAACACTCAACGTTCACCATAACTTCGGAGTCCTAGTCGCACAGACTATAACATGATATCAGAGCAACGTCTAGATATGTTGGTTATGACTACTCCCGCCAAACTATGCAAATTGTGCAGACTGTGCAGACGCCTAAGAAGCAAAAAAAATCCGGTTATAGATTTCTTGAGGAGTTTTTTTTTTTTTTTTTAGAAACAATGTTTTTTAATACCGATCAAATTTTCGTGTCGGTATTGTTTTACAGAGATATATGCAGATAAAGAGCAGGAGAAGAGTTGGTATTTTTTTACGTCGAGGAATAGGAAGTATGAGAAAGGGAGTAGGCCAGACCGAGCAGCGTCTGGAGGGTATTGGAAGGCCACTGCAGCAGATACAGATATCCAGGAAATGGAAGGCGGCCGGAGGATGAAAATTGGGGGAAAGAAACCCCTGGTGTTTATGGAGATTGAGAACTGCAGAACGAGGAAGGGCGATCAAGGGACGCCGACGGAGTGGATGATGCATGAGTTTAAGATTGAGGAGTCGAAACAGCCGATCAAGAACGGCCGCATGCTGGTGAGCTTCCAGGCTTTTATTTAAAATTTTGATTTTTCTTGATGTTACTTTGATTGGTTTCTGTTCAATTATATTAATCTTCTTTTGCCATTTCTTGGATAATGTTCAGTTACTTTTTCCCGTGCTTTCATTCTTTATATTGATTTTCTTAGTTATAGTTATGTTCATGAACAAATTTAAAAAAACTTTGACAATTTCCACTGTAAGCTTTCTTGTCTAATTATTAAACTTTTAACCGCTGTACATGTTGAATGCAGTTGGATGACTATGTCCTGAGCAAGATATATCGAAGTCGCGGCAAAGGCAAGAGCAAGAAACCTGCACCTGCAGCAAACCCAAATAACCTGCAGCAGCAACAAATCCAACCATCAGACAAAAGAGCCCGCCGTGAACCCGAACCCGAACCCAAAGCCAGTTCTGAACCAACCGAAATCCAACCCGAACAAATAAACCCGAACCCGCAAACACTACAAAACCAGCTGATTCCCTGCATGCTTCAAGACCTACCGTCTGGACCTGGACTTTTGAACCCGAACCAAAACCAAATCTATGATCAGTTCGGTCATCCATTTCCTTCTGCAGATGAAGATTTCTTGCCTACGCTCCCCAGCATTCCCGAATTTTTCGATCAATTCGAACCGACCAATCATGCACCAAACTTTGCATTACCTCAGCAATGCTATGAAATAGGCAACTTCAGCATCAACATTGGTGGCTGCAATCAGAACTTTCAGCAGCAGCAGCAGCAGCGGATTAATTATGGCGAAATGCCTGCTCATAACTCTGCAATTACAAGTATACATCCTGCAGGCTTATCGGGCAATCATAATTTTAATGCAGGCAACTTTGCTCACTCGCAACAGTACTTCAACACCCTGCAGTTTGCTAATGCGCGCCATTCCAGTTGGATTAGGACGGGGAGGGGCAGGATGGGAAACTCTCAAGGCAATTTGGACCAGAACAAGTTTTAGGGGTATTTGCTTTGAAGGAGATGGGCTGCCCATGATTTGTTAGTGTTTATCGTACTATATTTATTTATAGAAAATAGGGAAAAAGAACAGGTGGGTTTTTTTATTTTATTTAGGAGAGTATGTATTAGGTATAAATTTTTGGGTGGAACTATCTCCAAACTTGTTAGATCGTTTCATTACGTTGCAATTTACATTTTATTTGGCTCTTTGTTCAGTGGTTTTCAGGTTTTTATTTGCTTGTGATGGATGAGCATTGTTGAAAAATTGGTTATTTTGGGCATCTACATGTCCCTATGATTCTTCACTTTTTCTTTTTAAGTTAATGTCAGAGGATTGGTACCCCGCGCACGTGCACCTAAAGAGACTTTGCATTTAGCATGCCTGTAAGTGGTACGCCAATTTTGGAGAACCCGAATAACTTCATAATATTTTTCTGAAAACCTAGGAATAAATTTACTCAAGATGTACAGGCATATAGTTCTGAACTAGGTATACAAGTTCATGATGCATAATAGTATAGTTACAATCTCTAATAACTGGAAACAACTTACATGTCATTGAATTCTAAGAATGAAACAAGATGAGGTGGCTGCTGCATTGTAGACAATTACCACATGATTTAACAAGCTATATTAACAAGTTACATTGGGGGAAAACATCAAAAAGACATGATAAGATAGCGCAAGGAAAAGATGTAACAATTAATTAATTAATTAATTTGATTAATAATTAAACCAGACGACTTCATTAGTTAAAATTGCCAATATCCAAGTAACATGCACGTAGAATTAATTGAATGGAACAGTACCGTTGAAACTTTTTCATATTCAAGATATTGTTTGAGGTCCACCTGTCTTGTTCAGTCCATCTATATGGATCCTTATATATAGCCAAAAGTTGAGAAAAGCTGACAACAATTTTCGAATTCATTCAAGATCAAACCCCATATTTTCTCAGGTTCTGATTTCTGATATTAGGGAGGAGAAGCGGAGAGATCAAACTCCAAAAGAAGTCTCAACCATTTCAAGGACCAGAGCACAATTTTTCCTGCAGCTAACAACATGGCCAAGCAAGAAAATGGATCTTCAACTCATGAAATCTGAGAAGGCGAAGAAGAGGAAGATCCAAAAACATTGCCTGATGGTTTCAGATTTCTTCCTTCAGACGAGGTGATCATTACTACCTACCTGAGGCCTAAGGCCCTTGGCAATGATATCCCTTGCAAAGACATCATCATCGACGTCAATGTGTATGATTATAGCCCGGCACAGCTTGCAGGTATCTTGATCAAACTTTTCCGTATCTGTTTCTGATCGTTTTTAGGTAGACATACATATGTATGCATAATGTTAGGTTATGAGTCACTATGTAGCATTGTAGCTTATATCTTGTTCAGCATTATCTGAGTGCTATTTCTTGAGGTTTCTGGTTTAGACTTTATGTTTATTGGAGCACCCAATGCAGATTGAACACAAACAACCCGACTCCTTTGGCGTCACTAGCTGCTATTATCATTGCTACCGGCATTCTTGAGCTCAGATGAAATGAGACAGTTCTGGGTTCTTCATATTTTGGCTTAGTTTGGATGTCTGCTACTTAAGGATGGCTATTCTGGGAAATTAATTTGTTCTTGAAACAAAATTTGTAGTTTCTTTCTATGGAACCCTGATGTAAGTTCAATTAAAGATGCAAACTATGAGTATGTTTGTATGGATATTGGTGATGTGGCAGCTCAGATTGCCAATTATTAACATGCTGCAAACTATGAGTATGTTTGTATGGATATTGGTGATGTGGCAGCTCAGATTGCCAATTATTAACATGCGAAATTTGTTGAACCAAAAGTGTCTAGATTCTTTCATAGACTTTATTATCTTAGAATCACATGCTAATTTCCACATTGCAAAAGATTCATATATTAGCAATCCACATGATTACATGAATTTATGATCCAAGACCTGTAACATGAAGTAACAGATATGGTCGACTTATGATGACAACAGAATTAATAAATAAACCAAAAGCTTCAGAAACTTCAAGTTAATGTATAACGAGATCAACATTGAACCACCTTTTCCACCTAAGAACCAAAACTTGATGACAAGTAATGCAAAAATATGTCAGTTTCCATCCAAGAAATAATCTTGCGACGCCAATTGAGTACAAAAGGTATAAACTATTGCCAGTGGCTAACAAAATCAGTGCCAATAGTAGTTCAAGCACAGGTTCAAGCATAGCACTCTAAACTTGAATTTAAAACTTAAATGCCAGATTTAATTTGTAGTCCTTAATATAAATAAATAGTATCCGAACTGAACTTTTGGATCGAGTAATATTCGTAGTCCTTAATACACAGTTTCTTACCAACTGTATAGGCATTAGCACAACTACTTGCAGCTGACTAATCTATCCAGGAATATATTGGTATTCACAATGGTAGCATTGTGTGGAAGCAAACATGCATGTTCATATCATAATGTAATCTGTCCAATATGTGGCAAAGTTAATGCACATACATATTATAATGTGATCTGTCCAATAGGTGGCAGGGTTAATACTCGAGAAGGACATGCACATCTTTATACATATATTGACCCCGTCATAATATATCTGGTCCAATTTTTATCATAGACATGCTAACGCAACTCCATTAACGTATTCTCAATACAAAGTATCCTTTCAAGGATATAGCGGAGGAAGTCACTCACCCTTAAGGATCTGAAGAACTCTAGCTATCCTTTTCACAAGTGGATTAATCTTGGGGACCTCCGCTCTTGCAAATTAGATATTCGCATTTAACCAAGTTTTATTACTCTACACTATTTCAGAGTCCTATAAACCACACAACCATCTTGCAGGTACACTTGGGGATTGCATGCGCACTTGCCATCAAAGGCACAGAAATGCCCTGGCAGGTGTATATTTATAGAGAAAAGGAACCAGATTACCAACGCCACAAGTAAGCCGGATCGTGAATGCAATATAAAAATTATTTATTCGGCTATACTAAGTAGTTTGATGTTGCTAACCTTTTATTTTCTGATCCATGTGTTGTTCAATGTGGACTGTAATCACCACATCAAAAACAACTATGCAATCAGCAAAATCATGTGTTTCCTGATGGATCCTCAAGTTTGAATGAAGGGTTTTTTATGTTGAATTGCCATAAAGCTTCGATGGAATTGATCATCATGATCAATATGCCAATCATAATGTGATCTTCTTTGATGCAAGCTAATAAAACACAAGAACCTGTTAAGTAAACGTGACATAACTTAGGCCAACTTGATACTACAAACTTTTAAGACTCAGAAGCGCCTGGTGCGACTGCTGGTTCTATTCGTGCTGCTTCTGTTCCGGTGGCAGAGTAAATCCAATGCAAAGAAGACAGAAAAAAAGACTGAAAAGATGTTTTTTCTGGAAAAAGAAGAAAAGAACGTGGTAGTTGACAAGTGTTGTGTCAGGAGAGACTGGAGGGTGCGAGTAGCTGGAGAAGTCATCTTCCATGTCACAGAAAAGCTCTGAGAAAAGATTCGCACAGTCTCCTCCAATGTTCAACACATTGGCACTTATGGATGAAAGAGGTCTGTCTCCAGGCACAAACACCTTAGGGCTTGTCAAGGACGCTATTCATGTAACCAGAAATGGTACAAGGAGGAGAACGATCTAGGGGAAAAGGTGACATAATACTGTGTCTACTTTAGTCTCACGAATTTTGCAGTGTATGATAAAGCAATTGGGAAAAAGATAAAGACTGCAGTGCACTGTAATTATGAAAGCAAAGATGCTAAAACAAATTTTTATTGAGAATATAAAGCAGAGCAAGGTAAGGCAGTGAAAGATGTGATGCTGCAATGAAAATAGAGTAGAATGACCCAACAATTACAGGTAAAAATTAGCCATGATGAAACTTCAGGGATGACTAGCAAACAAAACCCAAGGATTTGTAGACATGCAGTATGATAAATTCTACTAGGATTAAGCAATCATTATAACACCAAGAGAAAAAAACTCACTACTAGATAGATAAAGGCTTCTGAAATATCCACAGCATCTTGCTGGTACATCTGGTGGGGTGGGGGGGGGGGATCTGGGGATCAGGAGTACTTGTTGAAGGCAACATGCTGCCTAGGCTGATGTATGTCTTTCCAGAGCCACCTACACCACAAGAAATATTATGCCTGCGTTAAGAAATATACTTAATTTAAGCTATACTAAGTCGTCCGCATGTTTGCTGACCTTTTTATCATTTAGATCTATGGGTGCACGTCCGAGGGTCTGAGTGCTCACCAATGCACCCTTCATTTTGGATCAGGTTCAAGTGTCTGCAGCGGTCAATACATCAACAATAACAAGATGAGCAGGGAAGACCATGTGTTTCCTTGTGGAATCTCAGGGTTGAAAAAAGCTTTGCTATGTCCAGTTGACAATAAGGTCTATGCCGCTGATCACCTTGATTGACAGGTCATGTGGTCTTCTTCAGTACAAACTAATAAAACACAAGAAATGATAACTGAATTTTGTACATTCTCTCTAACTTAGGTAAAGTTAATCAATACTACAACCATTAAGAGACACTACTACATAAAAATAAGAGACACTTCTACATAGAACGTAATAGTTTTCCTAACTGCTAGATGCAGCAGCGCTGCCAAGAGGACCAGGATTCACTTGTCATCTTAATGCCCTTTTTGGATCTTAAGGGATCAGTAACAGTTTTTGAATCCCATCTAAACCGTTCATGTTGATCTAAACACATAAACCATCTGCCATGTCAAAGAAAAGCTTTGAGAAGAGAGTTGGACAGTCTCCCAGTGTCATCACATGGACAATGGAGGAAGAGACCTTCCTCAAGACGTTAATACCCAAGGGCTCATCAAGGGGGCTGTTCATATAATCAGATATGGGCAATAAGAGACTGAGCAAAAAAATGTAGAGGTGCAGTGCAATGTAATTAAAAGCAGGGAAGCTACAAGTTTTCCCGAGAACTTAGTACAGAATAAGGTGAACTAATTAAATGTATGATGCCACATTACAACTAAAGTTAAAAGCAAAAAAATTGACGAGCAGGGAATCATAAGCAGAATAAGCAATTATAGGAAATATTAACTGGTGCATTACAATTTTCACAAAATAATAATAATAATAAAAGCCAAAAGATTTGTACCAGCCGAGAATCAAACCCATTGTGTACCATGCAGGATCCAATTCTACCACTAGACTGAGATGCTACAATCACAGAGAAATTTGATTTTTTTAACAATAATAACATTGCAGTTTGTGATAATACCCTATATAAAGAAATTATACAGCTCACATCTTTGACATTATTAACTTCATGTGCAGTTTGTGATAATACCCTATATAAAGAAATTATACAGCTCACATCTTTGACATTATTAACTTCATGTTCATGGTATTATATGACCAACAATAACAGTATGCTGTTAAATGATCAAAAAGCCAACTTTAACATATATCACATATTTATTAAGGAAAGTGCAATGCTTGACATTTGATTTGAATATCAATCATGCTTAACTATGCAAACCTGAATTAGGAAGATAAAAACTCAGTACGGTCAAAGGCTCTAATCAGTTCGTCAAAATGGTAACATATGGCTAGTCTATTTTCTCTATTGAACTTAATATCAAAGGCTCTAATCAGTTCGTCAAAATGGTAACATATGGCTAGTCTATTTTCTCTATTGAACTTAATACAAACAAGCCATTTTGGGTGTTGCGGGTTAGTTGGATAAATGGGTCTGCAACTGAGAATATCTTAAATGGTAAGAAAGAACTGCATACACAAACAAACCTCTTTACATCCCTCTGTCTGGTAGTCTATTTCAGTATCCTGTCTTCACGGGAATCCAATTGAGAACAAACAAAAAGTAATGATCAATAGAAGATTGTTGCTGATTAGAAAAGACCTAAAATTGTTAAATGCATACCCACTATTTACTTCATCTGATGATTAAACAGGAAAGAATAAATATTACAGTATAATCTACTCAGTAGCTGGCTTAATTCTAGACGTAAGGGTCACAGAATAGATTTATAACCAAGCACCAATCTTCAACTCATCCTATTGGGACACGGCAGAAATAGAACTGGCTGGGATAAACCTGTAAGATGACCCAATTAACCATAAGAGAAGAAGCTTGAAAGAACAGCAGCATGTCGACATGCTAACTTTATCTTGATTATTAGGAAAAGCATAGATAAACCAGAAAGAGCTGGGTTGGTTGCTGTCCAGACACAAGTTACAGCCATCAAAACCATCTGGATACCAGATAAAGAAACAATTTCTATTTGGACCCAGGTAAGCATTAAGTTGCGCACAACCCAACTACTTATACCCAATGACGCATGACAGTGTGATAAGGTAAAAGTAAAACAATAAAAGACTTAGCACAACAGGATTTGCATGCAGGACAAGGTAAAGCGATTTTAGAAATTATTTACGTGGAGAATTACAATTTCAAAAATATTCAAATAAATAAGATTTGCACCAGCCGGGAATCGAACCCGGGTCTGTACCGTGGCAGGGTACTATTCTACCACTAGACCACTGGTGCTGTGATGACACCGAAACCTGATTAACTTTAACATGACAGCATTACAGTTTGCAATGACATCTAATATAAGAAGATATTATACCACTGGCATCTTTTACATCATTGACATTATTTAGACTATACTGTTATATCATGAATATTATCGACTCCATGCTATCACATAACCAGCATTGACAGGTATGCTGCTAGATAATTCAAAAACATAAACCGTAACATATATCATCTCTTTATTGACGACATTGCCACAATTAGTAAGAACCACCAGAAAATTTCATCAATAGAATCATCTACCAGTTATGTCTACTACTATAAGAAAACGTAGTAAGAGAATCATCTTCTACTATTAATGACAAAACTACGCAGAAAATATGTTAGACAATTATTCTGATAGCAGAAACAATAACTTACTCTAACATGGATAGGGGCATTTTCAAGATTTAGCAAATACATAGCACGTAGGGGAGTGCCAGGAACACTTCATTTGAAGACAAATAAATGCACTGGCTAGTGTATGTGTCCGCTGCCCAGCTACCTACACCACAAGAAAGCCAGGTCATGAATGTTCTACAAAATCTACTCGCTAAGTAATACTTAAGTAGTCCACGTATCGCAGGTTCATGTCTCTGCAGGCTAACCAGGGCATCCTTCCAGTTGAAACCCCTTATTGACCCTCAGGTTTGAAATAACGTGGTCTTCTTTGATGCACGCTAATAGAACACAAGAACCTGCCAACTTGATGCACGCTAATAGAACACAAGAACCTGCCAACTTAATGCTACAAAGTTTAAAACTCTTCTGTGCAGAGTATAATAAAATTTCAACTGATAAATGCACCAGTTACAGCAACAGCCAAAGCAAGTTAGTTTTCGACCTTATATGTTGTACGTTGTCAAATGGAGAAAATCATAAAAATTTGTGCGTTAAATCAACAGAAAACGTTTAGATGGGATATAACAACCAGCATATGCCGGTGTGTTTAACCTCCAGGCCAAAAAGTGCCTGAAAATCACACGCGACTGCCTGCCCTGTTGAAGCTGCTGCTATTATGGTTTATAGACAAATCAGTAGTAAATTCATGCTATGAAATATCATCACATTTCTAATTTGATTATAGCACTATGTTATCCCGCCTCAATATCCAATGGCAGGAAACTAATATATGTATGCATAATTAGGTTTTTGACAAATAAAATCAAGTTATCATGAGATCTTCTCATTTTCTAACACAACTTACGATGGCACTCTGTTACCACAATTGACTATTGTCAGGTGCTGGAATTGGTACATGAGCTGAAGATAGCTGAAGATGATGACACAAGCAAGGGAAGAAGAAGCTTTGAAGAGATGGCACAAGAGTTAGAAACCATTCCTGGTTTGGTGCTGGGCAATGTGGTGCGATATCAACTTGTTGGCTGATATGGACTCGAATGCAAGTGGAAGTTCTTTGCACAAGTCCTTACAAGATTGGAGGGTCTATTAGCAAGTGTTGATGTCCAGCTCAGCAAAACTCAGCAAGCTGCAACAATACTACCAGTTTTGTAACTGTTTCCTAATTTCTGTTTTTTACAGTTAGTGTGCACGTGCACAAACAGGTTTATCTTTGTTTCATTGATTTGAGAGGGAGCGGTATGTGTATAAAAGGGAGAATTGTAAATTGGTATGATCATGAATAAAGTCTGAAGTTTTCTCTTCTTCCCAAACTCTCTCTCAGTTCCTCCTCTTCCTCAATTCTCTCTCTGTCTACAATTTCTCTCTCAATCCTCTCAATTACCTCTCTCGCAATCTCTTCTTGTTCGTTTCAGGCTCATCATGGCCAGAAACATCCCCAAAGAAATCAACAGAGGATTCGGATCCTCACAATTGGTATCAGAGCAAAGGAGGGTTCGGATGGAAGATGCTCTCCTTCAACAAAGCTTCATCGCTCAACAACTATCAACAAAGATGGAAGAATTTTCTTCTCAATTGTCTTCTCAACTGAATTCTCAGTTTCAGAATTTTGTCCAAGAATTCAAGAACTTCAAGAATCCAAGCTTAATCGACAAGATGTCAGACCCATCCACAGTTCTTCAACCCAATCGAATCCTCTTCGTCACCATTCACAAAATGATCTATCCTATAACGGAGGAAGTGTTGCATCAAGTGTTTTCTCCATATGGGTTTGTAGAGAAGATTATCACAGTTGGCTTTCAAGCTCTTATCCAATTCCAATCACAACAAAATACGGTCGAAGCAATGAATTCTCTACAAGGGCGCAACATTTATGATGGTTGTTGTCAATTAGCCATACAATTTTCTTACCTCAATGATCTCAGCAAGGAGCAGGTTACCAAAAGAATCCATAGAGGTTCCAAGAAACTTGGACAAGAAATCTTGGGATCGGGACCAAAGGATGATCGTCAAACCTATTCCAAGAACATTCATGTTGCTTCCCCAGCCTCTGTTGAGAATCCTTCAAACTTTGCAAGAAACAAAGGAGGACGGCCACCTGGGTCAAAAGCAAGTGCGAAGAGTACTGATGTTGATGCAATAGCTCAGCCACCTGTTTCTGCATCTGCACAGAAAGAGGATTCAGGAAGCAGTGAGATCCGATATTCTCATGAAGGGCCTAAAGGGTCCTGGCACTCAGGCACGGTCATCGGTTTGGAAAAACACACTCGTCTTGTTGAATACAAAAATATTGTGGGCGAGGACAACTACTCAAGACTCAAAGAACAAATACCATCATCATCAGCTCAAAGAAGCCCGAAGAAAAATCAAAAACTCACTGCTGAAGCAAGTATCACAGCTGAAGGTTCTTCTGTGGAAGATAATAAGGGGGATGGATTGAAAGAATTACCTACATATCAAACTGGTATGAAGAATCAAGAACCTGAGAATCTGGAGATTACAGCTGATCAACCCGTGGTAGAATCTAACCAACAACAAGAACTCGGTCAGAATCCACAAGGTTTTGGGTCTTCGACAATTGGTGAAATAGAAGAGTCTAACAAAAAGGAGGGAGTTAAGAGGCAGCGTGAGTCTTCATCAGGGGATGAGACCTCCCGAATGCATAACGTGAGAGCAAAACAATCAAGCCCAGAAATTGAAAAACCTCTAATAGATAAAGAATGTTTGATCTTTTTCCCTGAACAAGGTGATCAGCGAATTGTTAGTATTGATAATTTGCGACTCACACAAGAGTGGAATGAGGTCTCAGGGCATTGGAGGCCTCGAGGTGAGTGGGTTTTTCTTCAAGTGCTTCAATCTTTCAATGAAGATGAGGAACTGCCGGTATCAGTTAGACAAATTTGGTTTGATTTGAGAGCTACTGATGCATTCTCTGAGAAAATTGAAGTCTGGATTTTTGGTTCTCAATCTACTTGGCACATGCTGGTTTCAGAGTTGATACAGGAGCTGCGAACAGTTGTCCTTGGTGCAATGGGGCAGGTATTGTGTTGTTTAAAGGTTGACCAATCAACTGTTACAATCAGAGAAACTTTTGGGAAGTTTGATGATGTTCTTGAGCCTGGATGCCACTTCTTACCATGGATTTTTGGCCAACAAGTAGCTGGATATCTATCTTTACGTGTCCAACAATTTGATGTTCACTGTGAAACGAAGACAAAGGGCTTAGCAAAACGAGGGAGCAGATTCAGTCATATGTTTTTTGCTGGTATCAGGAGGTTTCCTACAATGGACCTTGAAACAAGGTCCAATTTAAGGGGAGGGAATTGTCAGGTGCTGGAATTGGTACATGAGCTGAAGATAGCTGAAGATGATGACACAAGCAAGGGAAGAAGAAGTTTTGAAGAGATGGCACAAGAGTTAGAAACCATTCCTGGTTTGGTGCTGGGCAATGTGGTGCGATATCAACTTGTTGGCTGATATGGACTCGAATGCAAGTGGAAGTTCTTTGCACAAGTCCTTACAAGATTGGAGGGTCTATTAGCAAGTGTTGATGTCCAGCTCAGCAAAACTCAGCAAGCTGCAACAATACTACCAGTTTTGTAACTGTTTCCTAATTTCTGTTTTTTACAGTTAGTGTGCACGTGCACAAACAGGTTTATCTTTGTTTCATTGATTTGAGAGGGAGCGGTATGTGTATAAAAGGGAGAATTGTAAACTGGTATGATCATGAATAAAGTCTGAAGTTTTCTCTTCTTCCCAAACTCTCTCTCAGTTCCTCCTCTTCCTCAATTCTCTCTCTGTCTACAATTTCTCTCTCAATCCTCTCAATTACCTCTCTCGCAATCTCTTCTTGTTCGTTTCAGGCTCATCATGGCCAGAAACATCCCCAAAGAAATCAACAGAGGATTCGGATCCTCACAGAGTGACATGGAATGAAAATGGCAATTACTGAATGCAAACCTCAAGACCTAATCATCTAAGATCTTGATGGAAGAAATAACTGCTAAAGGATGAGTCTTTTACCTAGATTTTGATGCACTTAACAACCTAAATAAAAGAGAGAAGGAAAATTCAAAGAAATCGCCTAGTAACTCTCTTAAAATCTTACCACAGTGACTAAAAGAATGAGGAAACGAAAAAAGTTGCAATTTTTATACACAGTGAATAAAGTCTACAACAAGAAAAAAAACCCCGGCCCACATCAAACCCTAATAAGACTTAGACTAATTTAAGCAGCAAAATAAAATTAAAAAATAGGATGATTAGGCTTACTTGGGATATTTCTTCGCTGAAGCTGAAACTCAGGGCTCTCTTCTTGAGAGATCGCTTCTTGAGAGATCTTTCTTCTTCGTCGAATTCGTCGATGTCGCTGGGCTCTTTTGAATTTTTTTCTTCGATTTATTATTGCTCGCGGCTCCTTCGAACTCCACCTCGGAGAGCAATCGGGCTGCAGGCATGGAGCAGTTATAAGCGACGCCCAAACTGGCAGGCCCAAAATAGTTCATGGGCCATTTTATTACCACCCGCATAAAGAGGTGTTCATAAGCGGAATATAATATTTTTCTGTGGGCGTTACATTTACGCGACTCGGCAAAGCACCGCGTTCACTGTATCGCGTATATCTCACGCGTTTATATCCGCGTATTTTCTCACGCGTATTATCTCGCGCCTAGCGTAAGTTTTTTTCAAAAAAGCCTCATTCCCAAAAATCCATCTAATTCAAGGTTATTTAGTGAAATAGACCCGGTTTTCAATCATGTCAGTGTCGTGGCCAGAAACTGGGTCGTTTAAAAAAAAACAAACTTATAATTAGTCGTGGTTGTAGTCGGAGTTGGCAACACCGACTAATTAGAACATCTTCTAATTATGAACGGGATTAGCAAAACCGTGTTAGGGCCAAAATAGTCGGGGTTCCAAACCCCAACCAAAATTATCGGGCTTGCGAACACCAACCATTTGGCAGAGCGTGGCTTTCACGACGAGACGAATTTAGCGAATTTATAAACGCCCACACATTTATGCAGGGGGCCCCGCCCACTGATAAATGCCAACCCGACCCACTGACGAGCTGAAAATTAATGAGAATTCCAAAGGTCAAACCTCATAAACAACCATAGCATCCTGGTTTGTTCTCTTCTTACCCTGCTAAGTAAACAGAGAAGCAAAAGAGCTTGCCCCATTAAAAAACCTCCTCCTAGGGATCTTCTGTAAGAGCTGCTACTGCTCCCACTCCAGCAACGACCACCCTGGTCTCCTCCTCCCTCCGTCGCCTCCCCTCCTCAACATCTTTGACCTCAGCGACAGCAGCGATGATGTCGGCATCGAGCTTCCTCCAACAGCGTCGTCGTTGGAGCCGTCAGTGGAGATGCAGGACCCCATTTTTAGAGTATTGATTAAGCCCAGAAAACACTCCAGGCTAGCAACGCAGCCCAATTCCTCAGAGCTTCCTCTCCCGCCC